TGAGGTCACATGTGTTGGGAATGAGAGTTGATTTGCATCTTTCCAAGGATTTGAGAATTAATTTGCATTATTAGAAAGGTTTGAGGACTTTTTGCACATAATATTAACTTAGAGGTAAAATGTTAATTTGAGATAAAGGAAGGGGGGGTTTGCCAAAATAGAAAAGAAAAAAATTGAATTATAAGGCAAGAGCAACGACGAACAAGTTAGCAGAAATACAAGAACTCTTTTAACTTCGTCAAATCAAAGCCGTTTCTTCTCCATGAGAGTAAGATGGTGAGCTCATGTGGTGGTGAATCTCCTGCTCCGACCAACTCCTTCCTTTCCTTTCTCTCGCATTCATGGCAATCAGGCACCTGCGATTCCGATGAAGCCTCTCGATTTCTGAGGAACTACGCTGCTTGGGAGCTGAATGCGTTTCTCTGGATTTCTCTCATCGGAATCACTTCGCTTCTCACGCAGAAGCTATTTAAGCTTTTCAATTTATGGATTCAGGCTCGGCGGATCCCCGGACTTCCTTGCCCCTCCTTCTACGGCCACTCCAGTCTCATCTCCCGGGAAAGTCTTACCGGTTAGGCTCTATCCTGTTCTGTTAGCCATAATTTTAGCATTGTATTAAACAAATTGAAGTCGGTTTTTAAGCCGTGTTTACTGATTTGATCGTCTTGCTTTGCGTTTTTCTGGCTTCCAGACCTGTTATCGGATTCTCACCGGAGATATGGATCAGTGGTGAAGCTATGGTTAGGTCCGACTCAGCTTTTGGTGTCAATAAAGGATCCAAAACTTATCAAAGAGATGCTTATGAAGGCGAAGGATAAACTTCCTTTAACCGGAAAGGCTTTCCAGTTAGCGTTTGGACAATCAAGCCTCTTTGCTTCCTCTTTTGATAAGGTATAACTGCTTAAAGCTTAGTTATTTCTTAATTGACTTTAAATTATATATCGTTTTCTTGAATGTTTTTAGAACTATGAAAGATAAGTGAGCATATAGTTTGACTACAGATGAATTGAATTGATGTTACTACAATTTGCTTTCTCTTTCTTAGGCAAACAAGCTTGCTATTTATTCATTTCTTTTTATTGATTGCCGTCTGTTCTTTGAAATAAAAATTTATCATATTTGTTCCATTGTTCTCATGGAAAGTTAAGAGGTTACTTATCCAATTTGTAGAGAAACGATTGTCAATTCACAACTTATATTCTTTATTTATGACTGAAGTAGCTATTTAGCAAAATGAAAATTGTCTATGGAAGTAAGAGAAATTCAAGGTATCTTGGGAATGTCAAGTTATATTTTTTGTGCTCAGCTAAAGGCAAAAAAAAAAAAAAAACATGCAGTCTTCTAAAGACTAGTACGATTGCTTTCCCTTTCATTTTGAAAGTGTGATTTTATATATACCCTTTCTTTTAATCCTCTATGTGGCAGTTTATATCTCTTCCTTTTGTCCCCATTGTCCTTAGGTGCAAAAGAGGCGAGATTCACTGACAAATGAATTGAATGGAAGATTGCTTGAGAGAGCAAACGTTATGCCTACCAAGGCTATGGACTGTATCATGGAAAAAGTACAGCAGATCATGCGCAAAGGGAGTGTTGACTGTAAAATGGTTTCTCAACATATGGCCTTTACCATGCTGGGAGCTACACTCTTTGGAGATGCATTCTTGGATTGGTCTAAGGCAGCTTTATATGAAGAACTCCTCATGCTGATTGCCAAGGATGCTTTCTTTTGGGCCTCATATAATGTTACTCCCTTCTGGAAACAAGGATTTTGGAGGTATCAGCATTTATGTACAAGGTTAAAGTCCCTGACCCAAGATATTGTTCAGCAGTGCAGAAAAAATTACAAGATTTTTTGCTGTATGAACCCAAGCTCCAATAATCAAACTGTTGAAAGTGGAATGGAAACTACTTCTGGTGCACCATCTTGTTCTGGTAATGTAGTACAGGATAACCTTTCCATGCAAGGGCTTAACAATCATCTACATGCAAGAGAAGAACCATGTGGCAATATTATGGGTGTGATGTTTCATGGATGTTTAACAACAGCAGGCTTGATCAATAATATGTTGGCAAGGCTTGCTACACATCCAGAAATACAGGATAAGGTAAGAATCCTTAATCCCTTCAGCCCTTGTCTGCTTGTTATAATTTTGGCATTATGCTTCTATAGATCCATTATGCCAGAACTTGTATCAGTGGGGACCTAGGCTGCCGGCACATTACCTTATGGTTAGATTATGATACATTCTTTTATAATTTTCTGAGTTCTCATTGAACACTATTAATTTTTTAAATGGTTTTTCTTGAATTTTGACATTTGATGTTATAATTGATTTTTTTTGTTGGTTTTATTGCTACTGAAAACAAGGTCTGGGATTTTGATTAATCATGTCCATATTTGAATTTCTGCAGATTCATTCAGAGATAATGTCAAAGAAAGGTTCTGTGAAGGGAGATCAACATAATGTTGATACGATGCCTTTGTTATTGGCAACTGTTTATGAATCTGCTCGGCTTCTACAAGCAGCACCTTTACTACAGAGATGTTCTCCGGAACATGGTGAGAAATCATTTGCTTCCCTCGCAAAGGCTTAAATTTGGCTGTTTTTGAGCTCTCTTTATGCACATCTGCCTGTCTTTGTATATGTATAAGTAGGAACTGTCTTTGATATTAGACATGTTGGTGGTATCATGAATTTTGGTGCTGGCTGAAACTTTTGTTAAATGTTTGTTTTTGGGTTTGTGACCTTGGGACTCAGTTTCATAAATCATTTTCTTTTGGGTTCAATGTTGTGAGTCTATATTCAGGGTCAATAAGATTCAAATACCATGCTCAATTTAATTTACAATTCGCCCTTATTGCACAATTTGCTCTTATAGTACTCTTTGGTAATATTGATGATGCATGTTTAGTCACTAATGCTTATTTGTTCTTTTTTCCTTTTATTTGAAGATTTGAGGCTTCTGTCTGGAGTAATCATACCTGCTGGAACAGTGCTTGTTGTCCCTGTACAGTTGGTGCAGATGGATGATTCTAGCTGGGGGACTGATGCTGGTGAATTTAATCCCTATCGCTTTCTTTCAAAGACTGGAAAAAATTCTGATTCAGTGCAGAAGAGTACGTTATTTGAAGGTTATGCTTCTTTTCCTGTTTGTATATTAAGAGCAGAAGACTAGTATTCTATGTTTTATTTTCTAAATTCCAACTGATAACTTTGAGCTGTGTGGCATTGTTGTGGTTGTTTTACCATTTTAGATGACAGCAACAGCAACATGATTTCTACCTTTATCAGATTAATATATATATCTTTTGCTTAGAAGCTGGTGTGTTTTCTGTTGTAAATGAAATGTCGCTGGTTTAAGTTTTTTAATCCATATATTACTGGTTATGAGATCAATCAAGCTTGCTTACGTTAATCCCTGGTCAGTTTAATGTCTTATCTGTCTAAAAAAGTTTTTATTTTGATATAATTACTGAATTCTTCAGAGGGCGCTGAAGAACTTTTGGATCATGGACGGTGTTCATTTGTTTTTAACCATCCGGACAACAATGCAGCTTTTCTTCCTTTTGGTTCTGGTACACGTGCCTGTATTGGGCAGAAATTTGCAATTCAAGCAGTGGCAACACTATTTGCATCATTGCTTGAACAATATGAGGTTTGTCCTATGAATTAGTCTATTTTTCCATTTAGCTCTTTCTTTTCTCACTGCTTTGTTACAGCTTATAGATGCAATTGGCCAATTAGCATTGTCTTATAACGTCTTATCTGTAAAACTATAGTTTTTTTGGTAAATGGGGAACAAAAAACTATAGGTTTGTCCATCTTGAACCCAATTGGTGTCTGATTGTGGATATGTCTGAAAATTGCAGGTGAAACTTCTGCCTGGCTTGGAAACCCCCTCAACTACAATGAAAAACAGCTCTGTTATTAAAAAATTTCCTAGTCCAGAGATAGTTTTTGTTGGAAGGAACACCTGAAAAGGTGAAGAAACACAAGATCATTGTCTAGTGGGAATTGTTTCCACTGTGTTGGTGTTGTCAAGTCTAGTGTTTTTGATGGAGGAGGCATCTCATCAAATATGTTTTTCCACCACAATTGTTGGGGAATTTCTTTTTTCTGTTCCTTAGCTATCCGAGGGAAGGATATTACATGAGTCCATGTATCCTACATCTCATGTTTTTTTCCTCTCTGGCTCCGGTGCTGTCTTTGATGTCATTACAAGATTTTTAGTATTGTTTTAAAAGCACAGTCGGCCTGTGTTTGCGGTGGTGCTTCCGACGCTTGTCTTCTCCATCTTTGAACTTTACTTTAGACTCTTACTTTTTCCTCCTGAAAGGAGTTTGTGTTGTATTATAATGTTACCCAAATATATAGCAGCACTGTACAACCTTTAACTGTTTTGTGTCACAGTATTTTCTCCCTTCTTTTTCTGTCTTATGACTCCATGTGCTTCGTAACAATTTTTTTTAAGTGAAATACAGATTATATTAAAAGCGCACATTGACAATTGCATAACCATTTGTGCACAATACTAGTAACAGACAAACAAGAAAATCAGTAAATGCTAGATAAATCCACAAAATGCGAGACTAAAACTGATTCAAATTCAACAAACATAAAAACCAGATGGTTTTAACAGACTCGTTGAAAGAACACTGTTTCATGGAATGCAAAATTTATTGGGTTTATTAATATGAGAATTTTAGGATGCAAATTTTATGTTGAGTGCAAGGTCCTCGTTTCTCTTTGGTGTACAGAGATAAAATGTAGGATTAGGATTAACAGTTAATCACAGAAGAAAAGAGAGTTAGTTTAAGAAGATTTTGATTATTGAGGATAATTTAGTTTTTCCATTCTTTATTCTTTAATACGACTGTTACTTTATAAAAAGATAATAAAATTGAAACACAAAAAGTCAAAAAGAAGAAGAAGAAGAAGAAGAAGAAGAAGAAATTGGCATTTTCACTATTTTTAATTATTGAAAACTAGTTAGACAACTTTCTTCTAACTTTCATTTTTCACATGTCAAACTACTACTATTTCTCAAAATGAGAAGTTCCCAATCCCAATAAGATTTTGTTATGTAAGTTACCAAAAAGCCCCTACATAGGTTTTTAGTAATATGGTTTTTTTTTTTTTTTTGAAAAATACATTTTAAGTACTTATAGTATGGATTGATACATATAAAAAGATAAGATTTTAAAATATATAATATATTTATGATTTGAGGTGAATATTTAAGGTTTATTTTAAGTATATATACTTATTTAAAGTTACATAAAATATCTTAGATATTCTTTTTTTTTTCCTTCTTTACATTCTTTTAAGTTAAAGCACTTTAAAACATTTAAACAAAATTTTAAATGGTGATTTCAACCTAATACAAACCTTACATGTATTGATTTAAACATTTTAAAATCACCAATTCTTTTTAAAAATGTGACGATATCTAAAAATTTAAAATTTAAACATTAACAATCTCATCCTCCATCCCTAATTGTACTAGTTAAATTTTTTTTTTCCCTTTACCTACACATACTTAAAGCTAGCAGAATGAGATGTGCCCTTATTCTGAATTTATCAGAAGAGACAATTAAACTTTCTAGTGGTAACATAGCATCGTCTTCGCAATCTGGCCGATCCCGTCCGTAACGGCTGCCGTCGAAGAAAATACAGGGCGACGGCCCGCACGGCAACCCTAGTGGTTTATAGTTTATACATCTTTACTTGAAATCAAGATATCGTTGTCCAGTCTCTAAACATGGCTAGGCGTATCAGTGTTCATCCCAAATTCTTCCTCGCCGGCCTAAACAGACTTCAAGGCCCAACTCCACTCCGTCTCGTCGTCTCTCTCTGCTCAGACTCCTCATCAGACGACAGCAATAATGACAAAATCAGAGACCATGAACGCCACGAAGAAGTGCGCAGGCTTCAAGCTCTGCTCCAGCTGGGACGGATGGGTGATGCACAAGACCTCACTAAGTCGCTCGTTCGCTCAAAATCACCATTCTCTTCCCCCTCTGACCTCTTGAGGGTCTTCTCTCTTTCCTCGCCCACCCTAAAATTTACTTTCTCAGACATGCTTCTTGCAGTATTATCAGACTCCAAAATGCACAGTGAGGCCACGGAACTGTACGAAATGTTGAGGAGAGATGGTATGCAACCTTCTATAAACTCTCTTAATTTGTTGCTTGAATCTTTGGTGTCTTTGAATAAGTTTGATAAGACCCTTAATTTGTTTGAGGAGATAATTCAGTCTGGTTTTAGACCCAATAAGTTCATGTATGGAAAAGCAGTACAAGCTGCTGTAAAATTGGGGGACTTGAAGAGGGCTATTGGGTTCCTGGGCTGTATGAAGAAGAAAGGAGTGAGCCCCAGTGTCTTTATATATAACGTGTTGATTGGTGGGTTATGTAAAGAGAAGAGAATGATGGACGCAGAACAGTTGTTTGATGAAATGCTTAAGAGAAATTTATTGGCGAATTGTGTTACATATAATACCCTTATTGATGGGTATTGCAAGCTCGGGAAGTTGGAGCAGGCATTTCGGTTGAAAGAAAGGATGAAGATGGAAAATGTGGAACCAAATCTGGTTACTTTCAATACATTGCTTTCTGGACTCTGTCGTTTGGGGAGGATGAAGGAGGCTAAAGAGTTTTTTCTGGAAATGCAACCTCAAGGATTTATGCCGGATGGGTTCACTTACAGCATACTTTTTGATGGGCTTTCGAGGAGTGGTGATTGTGAGACTGCCTTGGCTATATATGAACAACAAGTTGGTGGAAAGGGAGTCAGCATGAATACTTATACTTTCAGCATTTTGCTCAATGTTTTGTGCAAAGAAGGGAAGGTTGAAAAGGCAGAAGAGGTTTTGGTGAAGGAAATTGAAAATGGCCTTGCTCCTAATGAGGTAATGTATAATACAATTCTGAGTGGATATTGTCGAAAAGGTAATGTGAATAGAGCCATTTTGACAATTGAGCAAATGGAGAAGTATCAGTTGAGGCCAAATTGCAACACTTACAATCTATTGATTGACAAATTTTCTGAAATGAGGGAGATGGAGAAGGCTGAAGAGTGGGTAAAGAAGATGGAAGAGAAGGGTGTTCCACCAAATGTTGTTACTTATAACATCCTGATCAATGGTTATGGACAAATGTGCCAATTTGAAATGTGTTATGGTATTCTGGAAAGAATGGAAAATAAAGGGACAAAGCCTAATGTTATAAGTTATGGTTCCCTCATAAATTGTTTATGCAGAGACGGTAAGATTCTTGAAGCAGAAATAACCTTTAACGATATGATAGGTAGAGGAATTCTGCCTAATGCACAAATATATAACATGCTTCTTGATGGATTTTGCACCACAGGATCGCTGAAAGATGCTTACAGGTTCTTTGATGAAATGGTAAAAAGTGAAACACCTCCAACACTTGTGACTTACAATGTACTGATAAATGGGCTCTGCAAAAAGGGAAAGGTAGGAGAAGCTGAAGGCTTGCTTCCGCAAATTAGAAGCGGTGGTTTCAGTCCTGATGTGATAACCTACAACTCGTTAATTTCTGGGTATTCAGATTCAGGAAATGCTCAGAAATGTCTTGAGTTGTATGAAGAAATGAAGGCGTCAGGAATCAAGCCTACATTAAATACATATCATCCGCTGATTAGTGCATGTAGTAAGGAAGGACTGGGGCATGTAGAGCAGTTGTATCATGAGATGTCACAAATGCATCTAACTCCTGATCGTCTTATATATAATGCACTGATTCACTGCTATGCTGAGCATGGAGATGTTCAAAAGGCACTCACCTTGCAACATGAGATGTTGGATCGAGGAATTCATCCTGACAAGATGACCTATAATAGCTTATTGTTGGGACACTTTAAAGAAGGAAAGTTGTCAGAGGTAAAAGATCTAGTTACAGATATGAAGGCCAAAGGCTTGGCTCCTAAAGCTGATACCTACACTATTCTGGTTAGGAGACATTGCGAGCTGAAGGATTTTGATGGAGCATATGCTTGGTATAGAGAAATGTTTGAAAATGGTTTCCTCTTAAATTTCAGTATCTGCAATGACCTATTAACTGGCCTTAGAAATGAGGGTAAATTGCAAGAGGCCCATATTATCTGCCAGGAGATGAGTGCTAAAGGAATAAATGGTTGGAGCACAGAAGAAGACCTAGTTGCTGTTGCCAAAATATCATGAGAGATTTACAAGGCACCAATTATGCTCTCCAAAGGGCAATTCCCTTGCATCAAATCAACTGGTATGCTATTAAAGATCCTGTACCATTTTCTGTATTTTATTCTTATTTTGTACCTCATGCCATCCTTTTATTAATCTTGGTTCTTAGCTTATTCTTCCTTCTTGATGACAGAAGGTGAACAATAACTTGTACAGAAGGGAGTTTGCAATTGCTTGTTACTTTCTTAGAAGGGCTGGTGAGCCCTAAAATCGATGAGATACTTTCTTACTTTTCATTTTCTTCATGGTTAAGATTAAGAAACACTGTCAGTGTTTTTTTTTTTTTTT